GTCTGTGGTGTAAAAACACCCCTGGCCAAATGCCCCCAGAGGGCATCACTTCCCACTTTGATAATTACTGTAGTTACCATGTTCTGAACATCACATCCTTTCTTTTTCCCTCAGATGGAATCCATCTAGGTGGCTGAATAAAAATATTTGGACTTTATTTTTTTTTAATTACCTCAATTTAGCACCAGCAAGCTCGTTAGCTAGACAGTTAGCATCAGCTAACATAATTGATTTATTTTCAGCATGGTTATGAAGAAACATTTATATTAGTCTACTTGGCTAGTTGATCCAGATACATAAAAAAAGTGTTTTTTATAATTACACAATTGTAAATTTAAATAATTATGAAATACAATCAAATTAAAATAAAAACAATTGTAAAAATTATATAAATTGACATTTAACTCATAATATATAAAATATACATTTTAACTCATTTAGGACTAGGATTAGGTTTTTAGATGCACTAGTGTTCCTACGTTACAATATTTAGGAGGTCAAATAAAATCATCTGAAGCACAATTAAATCTCAATTTTGACGAGATATGTCTATGTTGTCTGAATATCAATTCAGTTTCTTGAGGATTGGTAACCTTCAGAAGGCACCATCTCTATGACCTGATTTATACTGTATTCACAAACTTTGCAATATTAGAACTTCTGCATGTTTTCTCTGTTAGCTTGTGTGATATGAAATCAAATGAAAAGCAGCCATTCAGTGTGAAACCTAACCTGTCTACAAGGTTGGATGCATTGCTAACTGTGTTTTTTATTCCAGTGCTCTCATATATTTATTCACGAGTGTTTGATCAGCATTAGATGACATCGGATGTTTAGAGAAACATTTTTGATAAACGCTGGACATTACCTGGCTTCAGCAAATCCATCTTGTTTTCCTCATCAGAGCTGGATCTGGAGCCATTGCTCTCAGAATAATACCGGAAAAACTCCTGCAGAACAAATACTTTTAGTTTGTAACATGTAGACATCACAACATAATTCTCAGCATTGATTAGTGGAAATGAAACGCAGATGTGAGTTTACATCATACCCTTTTAGGCAGAGTGAAGTAAGAAATGATGGCCAGGAGAATAACCACACAGGCAGTGATGAAGTAACCGAACGCACTGTCCTGTAACGCTGAACCCGCTGGAAAAGACAAGAACACCTGCAACTAAACAGTCATTTCTGTGGCTTCAAAACACAGATTTAGCAATTTAGAAGTACTCATGGAAGTCAATGTAGAAATGTTTTCGTGACATAAACACATTATCACTTATCAACTACGTGTTTGAATTTACTTTGAATTTGTCCAGTCAGCGCAATTTCAGTGTTTATATACTATTACTGTATTAATATTTTTCATTTTCAGTTTCCATTTTAACGTTAGTCATTTGATGTGCATTTGTACGTTTTATTAGTTTTAGTTAAAAAAAATTATTTTGCTTATTTCAGCTTTAGTACTTAAATTTCAGCTTATTTTATTTCATGTAGTTCCCAAGGTAATATTTCCAATTTTCATTTAGGTTCATGTTCAAGACAAGACGAGATAAAAAAAATAAAAAAAAAGATTATTTTTAATTTCAGCTTTAAACATATTTGAATCTTTTGGTTCAGTGTTATTTTAGCATTATTTATAAGCTATAGTATTTATTAATATTTTTTTATTACTTTCAGTAAAATTGTTATGCGTGTTTGTCCTTTATATTAGTTTTATAAAGAACATTTCTATTTAGCTTTTTTTTTCTTTTCAATTTTAATTTTAGTGCTTCAATAATTTTCATTTAGGTTCATGTTCAAGACAAGACGAGATAAAAAAAAAAAAAAAAGATTATTTTTAATTTCAGCTTTAAACATATTTGAATCTTTTGGTTCAGTGTTATTTTAGCATTATTTATAACCTATAGTATTTATTAATATTTTTTTATTACTTTCAGTAAAATTGTTATGCGTGTTTGTCCTTTATATTAGTTTTATAAAGAACATTTCTATTTAGCTTTTTTTTTCTTTTCAATTTTAATTTTAGTGCTTCAACTTATTTTAAGTTAGCTGTCAAGGCAAGATCTCTCGACTTTTTTTCAGTTTAAGTTTTTTATCTTATATTAATTGTTATTTTTATTTCAGCTTTAAACATCTACTTTGAATCAGTTTGGTCTAGTGTTAAGTATTATTTATACCCTATTATAATATTTATTAATATTAGAATTTTTTTGTGTTTCAGTAAAATTGTTATGCGTGTTTGTCCTTTATATTAGTTTTATAAAGAACATTTCTATTTAGCTTTTTTTTTCTTTTCAATTTTAATTTTAGTGCTTCAACTTATTTTAAGTTAGCTGTCAAGGCAAGATCTCTCGACTTTTTTTCAGTTTAAGTTTTTTATCTTATATTAATTGTTATTTTTATTTCAGCTTTAAACATCTACTTTGAATCAGTTTGGTCTAGTGTTAAGTATTATTTATACCCTATTATAATATTTATTAATATTAGAATTTTTTTGTGTTTCAGTAAAATTGTTGTGCGTTTGTCATTTGTATTATTTATAGCTTTTTTTAATATTTCTATTTAGCTTTAATTTCATTTGATTTCATTTCAGCTTTTTTCAATTGACGAAGCTATCTTTATTAGTTGTAGCTAACAATAACAACTCTGGTTTGGAATTTTCCACATTCCGGTTCCTCCGATTTGGAAAAGAAGAAAATAAAGAGAATGGCAAAAGATGAACACATACAGGCGAGTGCACAGATCATGGATAAGGCTGCAAACGTCCCTGCCAGGCCTTGTCCGCTCATGATGGGGGTGGTGTAGGACGCTGGGAGCATCCCAGCCAAACCAAACAGACTCCCTTGCAGAATCGCCCCGAACGCTGCAGAAAGAGACAGCGAAGCAGAAAACGATGGTTAACATTAGAGATAAATGCACAGAGAAACACGTAAAGGTCTTGATAACACATTTCTGAGAGTTCACTGCTGTACGATCCCCTCTTTCAAGTAGGACCTTCCCCAGCTTGATTCTCCAAACATGCTGTGTATTAATATCAGCATCAAAGGATGTGTGTGAACTCGAGCCATCTTTTACTCATTATGAACTCCAAACACAAACCAAACCTTGTGACCCGACCCAGAGGAGAGAAAAACTACAGAGAAGACCACGACACTGAGGTCAAGAGGCCTGGCATAGACACACTGCAGATGATGATGATGATACTCACAGTTGATGCAGATGATTTTGATCATAGTAAACGTAAAGAACGGCAGGGGCTCCATCTCCACCTTCACCAGCATGGCTGTGATGAGAAACACCACTAAAATGACAGACAGACTGCCTGAGATCCTCAGCTTCTGAGGAATCCTGGGAAGAACAACACAAGATCAGCTCTCCAGAGATACTGTTCAGACAGCAGCTAATGAGGAGATCCATGCCAAGTTACACAATACCTCAGCATTTTTATTACAGCTCATTTTCCACATTTTAGAAAAACGGTCAAGTCAACAAAGTTGTTAAATAACACAATGGAAGATGGGAGTGAGTCGTGAGGGATGTGCTTCTTGCACTATTTGCGCCAACTTAGAGGTCTACACGGAGGACCTGAGACCCGAGGACCCGGGACCCGACTAAATGGTCAGCCGGGTCCGGGTCGGGTCCCGGGTCTATTTAACATTGTGTGTAACACCCGAGTCGATCGGACTCGGAGAACACCCGGCCGTTATCAGAGTCAGTCAGCGCTGTGCGTGTGTTGCTTTGTAACTTTCAACTTGTAAAATCGGTAACTTGAAATAAGGTGGAAAAAAAAAGCGACGAGCGCCGTTATTCAGAAGCAGGGTGGGCGGAGTTAATGCACACGCACGGTGATAATGGATACCTTCATGAGTGATGAGAGTTATTATTGATTCTTTTTTTGTATCTTGTTGTTGTATCTAACGTTTTTGCTCAGACTCGGCTCAGAGAGCACAGAGATTATAGCAAATAAGTAAAGCTAACGTCAGCAGCCATGGCACTGGACGAGCAATCGTTATTATAATCCAAATGGGCAAACAGTCTAAATTATTATGCAAGTTGACTCGAGATACAAAAAAATGCAAAACTGCAAAGTCGCATTTGTCATACGTCATCGTGACAGCAAGTGGACTTTTGAAACTGGAATAATGAGTGGATTACGCATTTCAATTGGCAAGAGAGGAATAACACGGATGGAACTTTCTTGGCCGGGAGGATTGTGTGCATCACAGTCAGGTACAAGGGAGAAGGCTTCTTACATTAGGTAAGACAAAAAGTTTAATTTTCGCAACTTGTTAATAGCAATTTGCTGTGGAATATGTGCCGATCGGGTCCAGTCGGGTCCGTGTCTTCCCGGCCGGGTTTGGGTCCATCTTTCAAATAATTGACGGTCCCCGTCGGTTCCGGGTAGTACATTTTTGGACCCGTGTAGACCTCTACTCCAACTCATCAATTAAACCGTAGTTTTATAAAGAAAGTAGACAATTTATATTTTTCTACAAAACTAATTTTAAGCTTTTAAAGCTGAAGCCTTTCGATCAAAGGGTTTTTAAGATCATCAGAAATAGATTTATATACGAGGCAGTATTGTTTAGAGGCAGAATTTATGTGGATTGCAAACAGATTTATTTGCAATTAATCTCAAGCCTGTTTGCCATAAACACAATATTGAATTTGCTGTGATAGGAATTATATTAAAGTAACTATATATAATTTTCTTTAAATATAAAGATGTATATACAAATATATATACACACACACACATATATATATATATATATATAAAACATTTTTTATAAAACGAGTTTGATACATCATATGAAAGCCTAATTTATTGAGATGCACCTGTACTTATACAATATATAATATAAATATATATCATGTATACAATTACAATTAATTACATTTAAAAAGGTATGTAAAATAACTAGAATAAATACATTTATAATTTAAATAAATATAATTAATTATAGATTTGTTATCATTAGAATTTTTATAAAACATTATAAAAAAATTATAATAATTGCTTCTAGTCTTTCTCAATCATTGAACAAGATTTAGCTTTTGTAATCAGGTTTTAATTGAGCCATCACATTTTCAAAGAGTCTTAATATCAGCCAGAACAGAATTTCAATGAGCTTCAATGTCCAGTCGGGTGTTTAATAAAGCCATATTGAATCTTTTAAATGAATATTAATTATGTGGGGGCTTTAATCTATATAATATGAAATGCAGCGGGTTGGTCTCACCTCTGATGAATGAAGGAGTTGAGGCAGGTGAAAATCAGCAGCGGTACCATGGCACACAGCGTCATCACGTTGTTGAACTTTGACTCGAGGACGTTACGATCGTCTATTGCCACCGTCGCATTGGCTGTCAGATTGTGTTCTCCGTTTTTCAGACGGCTGGTAAAGTACTGCAGAACAATAAGACGACAATGAGAGCTTGAGCGGTACACTTTGTAAATTTATGTTACTTTATGCAAGCCATAATTCATTCCATAATTCCATTCCGTACAAGCCATAATTCACTCTGTCGCTCTCACACGCTTACATTCTTCTTTCACATACATATATTTCTACTTTCACATACATATATGTTTCTGCTTACATATTTACACTTTACTTTTCAACATATACATGTATTCGGACTTTCACACAAATGTATTTACATTCCCACACACATGTATTCTTTATTCTTAAATACTTATATTCTAACTCGCATACATATATTGTCACTGTCACATATTTCACAGTCATATGCATGTCTCTTTTTTATTTTGCTATCCATTGCTTCCTTTTTAAGCAGGAAGTCACTATTAAAACAGGAAATGCATATGTAAGACTTGCTCAGCTCATCCTAACACAACTATACTATTATGCTATTCAAAGTCATCCTGTTTTCTTGTCCAAGTACGGTTTTACATTTTTTTTTTTTTTTTATTGCATTCCGTAACCTACTCGTTCTAGAGATCTTTGTAAAAGTTATGATACTGATTTGGATAGTGTTGACAGGGCTCAATGTTAAGAACATTTTCTACTGTCCCAGTTGTTTATTTTAATACAAACTGTTGTTTTAATAATGAGGAGTAGTCTATATTGAGTTTGGTCTTTATCATCTTAGTCCGTTATGCCACAAAGCATTTTGTGGTATGTGAGGAAAGCACTGCATACACATAGATATATATAGTACATTTTATTAATAAACTGTATATCAAATCTGGTCTTTTAATGTCACTGTCTTATGCATTAAGCCATATTAAGTGTTAATGGAAGAGTATTAAGTGTTAATCATATTCTCAATTCCAAATTATGACTTGTGCGGCCCTTCATATTACTTTAAACATCATAGAATCGAATTTGCATTTATAAAAGAAAAATGTTACAGGTGCATTTTTATGTTTTTGGCTAATATGAAACATAATCTGAACCAAACAGTCATTTTTGTAAAGTACACTCAATTCACAGGTTGATGCGCTTACAAAATGCATAGTTTAAAAAAAATAATAAAAAAATAAAAACTGCAGAATTGTAGTTCATATCACAATATTTTATAGCATATTAATGTGCTTTAATGTCAAGCTAGCTTAAAGTCTTTCTTCAGACATTCTGAATACAACAATCATTAAATGAACCATGAAAAAAATTCTATAAATCTTCAAAACTCAGCTTAAGATATTTTTAATGAAACCTGTGAGGTTTCTGTCCCTCCATTAAAAGTCCAATTAACCAAAAACCAATCATATAAAGCGATCATATTAAACTGCAGAACTCATATGGATTCATTTTACTACAACTTTATAACCGGTTTCGGTTTCTACGTTTTGGGGACATCTCTCATGTTTCATTAAAAATATCTCAACTTGTGTTTCAAAGATTATACAAAGTCTTATGGGTTGAGAAAGACATGCAGGTGAGTAAATGATGATAAAAATTCAGTAAATTGTGTTCTTTTTTCTGCTACTGATCCTGGTCTTTACTAAATAAACATAAGATTGACATTTAATCATTTTGTATGCTAATATAACAATATAGAGCAATAAAAAGCTATATTTACCTGCATAAAAGATGCATTAAAGCAGCACTATGTAACTTTTTCTGTGTTCAAGATTTGCAAAATGTATATAATGAGCGAGTGCATCATGAATTCATCTTCCAAACCGCGTTTTTGTCTTATTCCGAATCACTCCGGTACACTTATAATAAGTACTTATATTTGGACTATTGTAGCCTGGTCGGGTCATCACCGCTGCGGAGTAACACATACCTGCGTGAATCGCCAGAGACATAAACTTAGAGAAGTAGCTCCGGTTGGAATGTTCTTCCACGGGATATGTGCAGTTCTGTTTATTAAACGCTAGAGCGTCAAAACTTACATAGTGCTGCTTTAAAAGCAATATTCATTGTATATTGTCAAAACCCTTTGGGGAGGATGGGTACTCCGAATCCAATAGAGTTCACAATGTGCCATTGAAGTTTGTCATTAACAGTGGTTTCAACGAGCTGATTGTTACCATGGTAGCAGTCATGAAGAAATTCCATGGTAGCAGAGTTCCCAGGCCCAGAAGGAAGAATATGATCCACACAGCATTATACCTAGAAGACATGTCACATTATTCACATGCGGTTTCATTATTGATCATTTGTTTCATACGAGAAAGTTGCGCTCAAACATTTACCTGTCTCGCGGAGCGTTGGCGGCTGTCATTGTGTCTGTCTGACGGATCTGTCACTGATTCAGAATCTGGCATCAAATCTGAAATCACATGGAGACAGCCTTCATTCAGTGATAATGAAGCACAACGCCACAGATGATCTATTGTTTCGTCATTTCAACCCCAATAAACACATTTTAGTGAAATGTTCAGCTTGAAAAGTATGCTTGTGCTGTGTTTCTTTAAAATCAAAGCCACTGCTTTGATATACTAATGATATTTAGACATTTTTAAGAAGGACTAAATATCCAAATACTTACCATTTCGTTTAAAAATATGATTCTGTTAATGGATATTCTGGCAGCACCAACACAAACAAACCTTAAAGGGGTCATATGATGCGATTTTCAAGTTTTTCTTTCTCTTTGGAGTGTTACAAGCTGATTGTGCATAGATAAGATCCCTGAAGTTGCAAAGACTAAAGTCTCAAAACCAAAGAGATATTCTTTATCAAAGTTAAGACTCTGCCACGCCCCCCTAAAACGGCTCATTCTAACACGCCCCCACATATCTACCTTACTATGTGGAAATATTTGCATAATGCACCCAAATGTTCACGCAAAGAAAGAAGGCGTGGTTTCAGTAACCGCAGATAGTGTTGAAGCAGCATGTCAGGGAGACGCTGTGTGTTTCTAGGCGAAAGCAAAAGCACTTTATTTGGCCTTCCAGAAGTAGATGCATTTAGGAATCTTTAAGATTACTTACAACAGAACAGCAATGCATTTTATGGACGACCGTTTCGTGAACCTAGGAGAGGAGGTCATTCTGACTTTGCTATGACAATCTGGCGCTTCTGAATCAGCTACTGTTTTGTTATTAGTTTAAGTATTTGCTATTGACTGTTCAAATGCGGAGTTTTGTGCATCGTGTGTGTGTGTGAGTGAGTGAGTGAGAGAGAGAGAGCGCGGAGTCAGCTGTCTTAACCGTGGCTTGTGTACTGTACACACATACCAGCTTCATCACTGTGTCTGTCACGCGACTCTGTTCCCCTTTCAGGCTTGAACTGATGGTAAAACTAATGACATTATTTACTGTCTTTACATTTATTTTGAGAGATGAAGCTCGTGATTATGGTAAGGGGCGTTAAATTTCCAACGAGTGCTTGTGGTGTTCGGCCAATCACAATGCACTGGGTCAGCTGACCAATCAGAGCAGACTGCGCTTGTCGGAAGGAGGGACTTTGTAGAAAACTAAGTGTTTGAGAGAGGCGGGGCATAGAGGACCTACAATAATGTACAGTATTTGAAAAATAATGTGTTTTTTGAACATTAAAGCATGTCAACATATTCTGTTACACCAAATAATGATCTTTAAAAAAAGCATCATATGACCCCTTTAATATCTAAATTTTCACTTCGGTGTCATTTTTCCATGTGCTTCCAATTAGCCTAAATCTCTAAAACAATATTTTGAATATATCACATATTCTGCTTAGAGGCATATAGTTAAAAAAAACAACACAAAATTAATTTCCTGAGCTCAAGTGACAGATTGTCTGTATTTGAGAAAAATCTCCAACCCTCACAAAATCCTCTGCACTCAAGAAAGGGCAAAATATCGATTAATCCTGCAATTCTTTGAGAATATAAATAAACGGAGAATGAGAAACTAATGAACTCCAGGACGGACCAACCTCAGTGTTTCTACATGCTGGAATTTCCATTAATATCGATAGCTGTGAATTAAATTTTTTAATGTGTTTGTATGGCACTTTTTACAGTTTAAGTCTTGGAAATGGATTCTGTTGCTCTTAAATGATGTGCTTCAGCAACTTGTTTCAGATAAACTAAGACGATAATGAGAGAGTGTGATGTCGGTTTCTACCATCTCATGGACCATAATAAAGCTTTCTGTATGTACTAATCTGCTTAAATGATGTTGTTTATGGTGCATAAACAAAGATGGATGCCTTATTGATGACATGCTTGAAACTGATGCATCGTCCTCCTCCAAAAAGCATACTTTCAGCAGTCGCATAAACAAACTTCCTGATCTTTCTGCACACAGAGTACACTGAAGTACTTTTCATTCAAACAGCTGTCTTGATCTACAAAACAGACCTCTTAGTGAAGAGATTTATTGGCTGACAGGAGGTCAAAACATGGGACGCCATGTAATCAACCATTTTTTATGCTGTTTTATTGCATGTTAAAACATTCTTCATGGAGAGAAGATTCATTTGAAAGAAACGTCAAAGTTGCATTTCATAGTGTTGTATCATTTCTTAAAAATGATGACAAATAATGAAAAATAGGTTTTCTCCACAGCTACCAGAATTGTGTTCAATAATCAGTATTTTTCAAAGAAACGCGCTTTCTTCTTCTCTGGAAATTCGCTGCATCAGAAAATAGAAAAATTTCTCTATAAAATTTCTCTCTCTCTATTTCAAATAGTATAACAGCTCCTCTTTTCCATGTGCATTTCCAATGCATCATCATGACTGAATCAGCCTGTCTGAACAAGACCTTTGAATCAACCAATTTACACAATTGATGTGATTTGACCAAATTGTGTTACACAACCATCGGAAATCTCAGTCACGCTGAGAGAATCTGACTGGAGTTGGATTGACCTAACTCGTGATCGCATGTCCAAACTACTTTCTAAAAAAATCTCTTACCAATACAGGCACTTTATGCTTTCATAAGACAACAATATTAATCCGATCACCACTTAAACCAAGTCAAGATGCCCTCTATAATGCATTCAGCTGCAGAAACTCTATATCCTCCTGAGAACCAGGAATAAAAAGCTTAGTGAATTTAGAATTTTTCATGTCATTACATTGTTTAGAGCATAAGAAAAAAATGGTAAAATAACCTTTTTGAAAAATTATATTTTATTAATAAATTATGCTATGTCCTCTGAATAGGACACCAGGACTCAGTTTTTCTAAAAATAAAATGACAAGTATAGACATGAAAAGACAAAAACAATGGGAATTTTTTTTAAATCACCAATCAATTTGTAGGTTTCAGGATTTTTTTTAATAACTAACTTTGTTTAAGGATGTTTCTCAACGATGTTATAAAATATATAACAAAATTATTTGATATACCATTTTGCTTTATGCAATGTGTGTGTAAAAATTCCATAAACTGGTTTTCCCATTAAGCACAATGTTATCTATACACTGCATCTAATTTGCATATTAAAGTGCTGTTGGGACAGCATGTTGAAAAAAGAAGTGTAATAATGGGAGCAGTAATTGGCCAGATTTTCATAATATCTAATATTTCAAAAGAATATTGATATATAATTTGTTTTCCTATTCAATTATTTTGTCTCCCAAAATGTATAATAAACATGTCCTGTTTCATAAAGTCATATTTTGATTTGAAACCCCATAACATTTTCCTGAGATGTTGATTTATGACAAACAATTTGAAAATTAATCAGATTTAAATTATAATTACAAAATATTCTCATATTTCCATAAGGATGTACAATTGTATCTCTAAATTAATGTCAGCCATTTTTAAAAACCAAGGAGAGGGAGTGGTCACGGTGAAACATCCAATCATTTGATATCTCTGAAAAGCCGTGAATGTGCTCTGTACAGGACATCCAGACTTACAACTGTGACATGTGAGGTCTCAGAGAAATTCACTCAAATATAATATTCACTACAGAGGCAAAAACTCCATAGCTGGGTCTCAGGAGGATATTTCACTTCAAAGTTAAACAGGAGATCATTAATTTAGTGGAAGCAATACATGCTGTGGGTTAGCTGACAATGACTGAAAGCGAACGAAGCATTTCCACCTTGACCAGACTTCTCTGCCCTAGGGTCGGCAGGCATGAGAGCTTGTGTGGAACTCCAGGAATGGACGGCTATATCAACAAAACCTGATGTGATCACACTGGTCTCAGAACTACATTTATATCAAATGGGTTTATGATTTCATAAAAGGCACAACCAAATGTTTGATGAAGTGCACTAAACACAAAAAGAAATGCCATTAATGCAAGTATGCAAAATTAAAAATGACTGTGTATATTATTAAGATTCAAAAGTTTGGTGTCTGTATTATTTTTTTTATGTTTTTGATAGGAATCTCTATGAAAAACATTTTTTTTTTAAAGTTGCCTTTATTCTACAAAAAATATAGTAAAAACAGCATTATTATGAAACACTATTACAATTTAAAATGTTTTCTACTGTATTATAAATTCAAATGTAATGTATTCCTGTGATGCAAAGCTGCATTTTCAGTATGATAACTCCAGTCTTGAGTTTCACATGATCCTTCAGAAATCATTCTAATGCAGCTCAAGAAACATTTATTATGCAAACAGTTGTGAATGTGGTGTTTAATATTTTTGCGGAAACCGTCATACATTTTTCAGGATTTTTTAATGAACAAAGTTCAAAAGAGCAGCATTTATTGAAATAGAAATATTTTGTAACAATGTCTTTATCGACACTTTTAGTCAGTTTGATGCATCATTAGGGACTAAAAGTATTCAATTGTTTAAAGAAAAAAGTTGAATGTTAGTACAGCATATGTTATATGAATATTTTGAAGGAGTATATGCATTTATATATACTTTTTATATTTTATAAATACATTTATAAATTATTTAAATGTCTTTATAGTTAGTCATAATAATATCCAAATTGTTTCATTCTTATTCATATACACAATAATGTTTAAAAGACATCTCTTTATTCATTAAAAGCCGTATATCTGCGAACAACCAGTCCCATTACACTTTTCCAAACCCTTGCAAATAACATCGCTGATTTACAGTGTACAATCACTTCCAGATCAGCTCATGCGCCAAATCTGAAAGAGGTCATCTAAACCTTCCATTTCTACACGAGCCAATGCGCACACTATCACAGCCGCACTCCACAAATTAATCCCAGCAGCCTGCAATCACCCGTTTTGGTACACCTCCCACGTCCTGAAAAACACCTCTGGCCAGTTTCCCGGACCGTCCTCTGACACGGCTTCCTGGGACTGTGCTTCTAAAAGCTCCCTCAGGGGCTCCATGTTTCACAACAAAGCTGCAGGCTCCTGAAATAGTCTGTCAGTTGGGGTGTTGAGCCTTGAGCGGACCTGGCGAGAGGGTCTGTAACCTGAGAATATCAGCAGTGCATCCAAGAACAAGCTCAGGACAGATTTCAGTTCAAGAGGCCCTGCGAACCAACTCTAGCAGCCCATCCACAGCACAAGAACAAGGAGACGGGTGGGAATTATATTAAGAAATCAATCATTCTGGTGCAGATTCAGTTATAGGGTTAGTTCACCCAAAAATGAAAATTAGCCCATAAATGACTCACCCTCAAGTCATCCTAGGTGTATATGACTTTCTTCTTTCAGACGAATCCAGTCAGAGTTATATTAAAAATGGTCTTTGATCTTTCAAGCTGTTTAATGCCACTCAGCGGGTGTTGCATGCATCAGTTCAAAAGAAGTTAAATAAAAAGCGCCCATCCATAAAAAAAAAAGTGTCTCACTTAGATTTTGAAAAGCCTATTGACTGGAATTTTTTTTAAACATTATTTGGTTCCACAGTGTTTGCGGATTACTTTATTTAAACTGTGTATTTTATTTATTTTACATCAAGGTGTATGCCGTGCCTCCAAGCTTTCTTATTAGTTTTGCTAATAAACATTCTGTGTTTCTTATTTATTTGGATCCACAGTGTTTGCTGATTTTCTGTTTTATATACCTATTTAAACTGTGTGTAGCCCAAGTAATTTGTTATTTTATTAGGCATATATGGTGTATTTTTTATTCGTTCATTTTAACTCAAACGAACTAACACACCACCCCCAACCCAACGGTGATACCGGTATTACCGGTGTTGTCACACGTAGATTAACCGGTGGGAAAATTTCCTCACTGTCACAACCCTAGACTGTAGGCAGTTTCACTCCAGCAAACTATTGCCAAGAAATGCTTATGTGGTTCAGCAACTAGGCTAGTTTCCCATCTGAAAGAGTTTCAGTTCCAGTGGGAACATAGTGTCACGGAGCATCTCTTAAATCAGAAACCACTGATAAACTTGAGTTCTCAGATAAAAATGTGTGAAACACTTGCATAATTTACCCCAGCTGCACAGGGCAAAATGCAGTATGTGAATTGCACTGATCTAAAGAAGCTGTTAGAATGCACTTTTTGCACCCATATCTCAGCCCTAGATATCATATCTCCTTTATAGGTATATCTCTGCCCTATTAAGAACCTTTTGTGCAATGCAAAGGATGTTAAAGTTTCTTCATGTAACCACTGATCGAGTAAAGAACCTTTATGTAAAAACCACCCCACCTGTGCCAAACAATACCCAATTTCATGAACAAATATGGGTTTAGTGTTGTCACAGAAGAACAGCAGGTCATGATTACATTTATTTTCCGTGACTCATTTTTAAAGAGCTATGAGGCAACTGTGCGGCAGGCCTGTTTTCTCTACTCTGGATATCATTCGAGAGTAAGAAACTCACAATTGGCTGGAGCGTGAGGCCATTTAATTTGCCCTCTATTCTCATCCTCAAGGAAACGTTTATGAAAGCATGAGTTTGACTTTCTGCCATGTTACCAAAGGCAAAAACTGGATTGAAATAAACCGTGCAATATGTCAGCTTATTAATGCCGCATGTTTCCTGTAAAATCAGAACTCTATAAAACCACTCCAACCTCTTGAAATCCCCAACCCTAGTTTTGCTTTAAACTACTTCAAATAACATTGACACCACCTTTTAATGCCTTAATATGACACGCATATGAGTTCAATGCGGGAAAAAATGAGGATAGGGCATTGGGTTGTGAAAACTAGGTGTTAGATACCAGAATGTATAGCCAGTTGGTTGGAGGCAAAGGGTTGCAAGTTGCCTTTGTGATGTCAGAAGAAAAGGAAAGTTATTTCTGAGTTAATGCATTCTGATAAACAATTTTAATAAAACAAACAATTGGTCATCATTTTGATTTTGTTGACTTCTGAAAATAGAGGTACTAGTTCTGTATCTACAGACTGTATTTGCAGAATAATATGCAGGTTTTGTGTTGACAGCTGCACACAATACCACTGATGAAACCCTCCTTGGCAGTTTTACGCCTAACACGAGCATGCGGTCAGAGTTGCATGCTATGCATGCCACATGAGTTACATTAGGAACATTTGCCTGCTTTGGAACTGACCGAGAGCTCACTATCTCTGTCCACAATAAAGCTCACATGAATCTCATCTAAAGAGCATGAGAAGTACATCTACCGTCCAAGCCCCAAGCATATGCATCAGCATCATGACACTTAAATTCAACCTTTGTGGAAAACTAAACACCACAGAAAGCAAAACAGTGATTTAAACTGGGCAATTTAATTATTGTAAACATAATTAATCTGGATCCAAACTATCTTTTCATTTCTTTCAACTACTCCGTTTCATAGAATTAACCCTTCCCATTGGTATGAAAACGTGTCCAGATCAATAAAGTAATCTTTTATTGAGTAAATAAGAAACAATACCGTCTCTAAAAGCATATGCTATCATTTGATTCAGAAAAAAAGTGAAAAGTGACTTTAGTGTAAACTATTATATATGTTCAAACAACCACTAAAAGTCAAAAACTGTCCTTTTGTTTTCATGGGTCTTAAAAAGTCTTGCAAAAATCTCTAGCATCATATATTAGCAAATGCCACTTCATTGAATGCTTCAGCTACAGTTTAAATACCCCAAATGGAGAATGATATTGGAGATAAAGCACATGAGCTGTGTTTATTACTTGTATAGAGCTTTTGTGCTCATTGGAGTTGATAAGCTTCTAGTCACTTTGAACTAATCAATGTATGAAGACTCTACAGGTTAGGCGTTATATTGACATTATATTCATTTTGGGTTAACTAGTACTCTAACTGTCCAAATATGTTAGGGGTGAAACCAGCACAAAGAGCTACAGATCTCAGCAGTCACCAGCCTATTCTTAAAAAAGAGACAAGAAAATGCGCACATGGTAAACCACGCGAGTCTGACGTCATCCTGTACTACTTCACGTAAAATACTCTGCGCCCAAAAAAACCCCCGCGCGCGTTTGATAAACCTGTGTCAAGCATAAGCTACATAATAAACATCACAGCATCAGTTCACTTGCTTCTGTCCATTTCAAGTCACCAACCAATGTACATGTCACTGAACTTATTCATAGCTACCACACAACCCCAAAGTTATTAAAATAAAAGCATACAGCGTATTAAGTTGTGAATGACTCACGGCGCGTGCCAATATACATCACGTACCCCCTACACGTGGTGAGCAACACTCAATAAAATAATACTCCGTTTGACACATTCTCAAACCTAGTCAACACACATTTACAAATACTAGAGAGAACTTGGTCATTATAACTATCGCCGCCGGATGTTTCGCTAAGAATGTTTCTAAAAGTCGCGAATAATTTGGCGCTAAATTTGCACGCTACATATCAAACAACACAGCGCGCGCGGCACTTAAATCTACGTGTTTGAAAACACTGGACGCATTGATACAAAAAAAACAAAAAACACTCCTTGTTCAACTTTTGACCATCGGAGTTTGAAAATAGCGGTTTCACACGAAAATGATCACAACAGTAACTCACGCGATAAAAAGTACGGTAGTAAAACCGAGCCCTACCTTCACGTGCGGAGAGTAGAAGAGTCTGAGGGGACTTAACACAAAGACGCAAGCTGTGAGGACTGAGGAGGGACTCTCCTATCCACTGCGTTACTCCCTAAAAAAAGTAACTAATTACGTTACTTAGTTACTTTTTATGGAAAGTAATCCGTTATATTACTTTTGCGTTACTTTCCCGTTACTTTTTAAATAAAAGCAGGGCTTGATTGTTTTTAACATAAGAAGTTCTATTTATAGCAAATGTAAAAGCCCTTTCACACCAAAAAGTGTAATGAATAAACCTCAGGCTGAATGAAAAGTAAATTCACGTCTGTACAGTAGAACGCAGGAGAAGAAACACTCTTCAGCAATAAAAAAACAAAGAAGCAGAATTGTTAATCTAAGGTCAGCAGCAAAGACATTGGTTAATAGAATGGGATTACGTTTGTGTTATTTAACATATTTAATTATTGCAGGTTTGCATCATATTCTAAATTTGCATTTCACTGTTTTAATTCATTTTGATGAATACTAAATCTGTTTTTTGAGAGTGGGATGAATTAATGCACATTCATATTTAGTCTAGAGCTACAGTAACATCATGTTCACACAGCGCACACAACGCCTCTGTACTTACGATTTCTCCCAACATGGGGACAGGAGAGCTGTCAGTCAATAAATGGGAAAACAAAGTAATTGGCATTACCTTTTGAAAAAGTAACTCAGATATTTTCTTGTAAATTAAAAAAGTAATGCGTTACTTCACTAGTTACTTGAAAAAAAGTAATCCGATTACGTAACTTGCGTTACTTGTAATGAGTTACCCCCAACACTGACTGCAACTTATACTAGATCTTGATCTTTACCTTTTCAGTAATAACAACAACAATACTGCTGCATTAGGCCTAGCCTATATATCATGTTTAGGTCGGACTAAAAACATTTCTGTTTCATATATAACGTTACAGTACAAATTAAAAGTTTGGACACACTTGACAGAGTGTTTAAGTGCTTCAAATTAGTTTTCTTGAGAAATGTAACTTGTGAATTTCTTCACAGACACATTTTCTATTATCTTCACATTCATTCATTCATTCATTCATAAAGAAAGAAAGAAACGGATTGGAATGTTTCACAGTTGATAGAAACTCTAAACAAGGAAATCCATGAAGTTGATTGAGAGAATCTACTTCATGGATTTTCTTGTTTAGAGTTTCTATCAACTGTGAAACATTCCAATCCATTTGTAAATGGAATGTCCTAAAATGTACACACACAAAAAGCTCAAATGCATTTGCATTTGTTATTTCATAGTTTTGTTGTCTTTATTGTTTCTTCTAAATGGAAAATAGTCATAATAAAAATCATTATGCGTCTAAACTGCCCTTTTTAATACAAAGGGCTAAAAATTGAGGGCCAAAAGTAAATGTTGCATTATATCTAGGCTAACTATATTACATTACAATATATTAAATTAAAAATAAAAACATAAACAAAAATTTGTATAATTATTTGACATTGTAGTTAAAAAAAAAAAAAATCAAATCCACTTATATTGTTTTTTTTTGTTTTGTTTTTTTCATTTTAATGCAGAAATACAACAAAAATGGCTTCTTCTTTATTGTTTCTTCTAAATGGAAAATAGTCATAATAAAAATCATTATGCGTCTAAACTGCCCTTTTTAATACAAAGGGCTAAAAATTGAGGGCCAAAAGTAAATGTTGCATTATATCTAGGCTAACTATATTACATTACAATATATTAAATTAAAAATAAAAACATAAACAAAATTTTTTATAATTATTTGACATTGTAGTTTAAAAATAAAAAATCAAATCCACTTATATTGTTTTTTTTTGTTTTGTTTTTTTCATTTTAATGCAGAAATACAACAAAAATGGCTTCTTCTTTTTTTTTCTGTGATATGGCATGGTGGGCCAAATCCAAAGTCATCACGGACCAGCTTTGGCCCTAGTTTGTGCATATCTGCTGTTCGGTCATGAATGAGGTGCTACAATCCGTCATGGCCAAATATAACATCCCCTAAAGCATGTGACAGCAAACTTTGCACTTTGCCTTGCCTGTTGACAATGACAGACATCTGTTGTTCTGTTAGTAGTGAGGAGATGCACACCTTCCATGTGACATTTCACACCCAGAGGAACGAGGGTCTGCTGTCAAACTCACATGAGCTGAAAACTCCCATCAGAACACAGCTGCACTTTCTGAGGTTCCTGAAGAGTAATGACAACTGTATGTCTTTATCACATTTTCAAGGACATGTGATGTCTACAGTGTTTGTTTAAAGGGGTCATATGATGTTGCTAAAAAGAACATTATTTTGTGTATTTGGTGTAATGAAATGTGTTTATGCGGTTTAAGGTTAAAAAAACCCATTATTTTCACATACTGTACATTATTGTTTCTCCTCTATGCCCCGCCTTTCTGAAACATGTTGATTTTTACAAAGCTCATCGGTCTGAAAAGCGAGGTGTGCTGTGATTGGCTAGCTATCCAGTGCGTTGTGATTGGCCGAATACCTCAAGCGTGAGCCGGAAATGTTACGCCCCTTTCCATACTGTGATGTCGTGTCCTGCCGGAGCGATGAGACAAAAACATTAAAACCCATTATAAACGAGGCATGTGTTGCATCCAGTGGGGACATAATTACGGATTATAATGACTTACACTGTCTTTTTTACACGTTGCATTGCGCCGCGTAAACAAGCCATGTCTGCATTTGTGATCGGAGAAATGACAAACAACAAGCGCTACTCTACACTGCTCAAACCTCGCGTTTGAATCGTCAGTGGCAAATTCTTTAAATATAAAAACCTAATTACAGACTATGAGTCAGAACAGCCGACATTGTAGTCTACTCTCCCAGGATCAGGAAACAGTCCTCCATAAAATGTGCTGCACACATCTGAATATTTGAGTTGAAGTGTTCTGGAACAGTGTAGTAAATACAACTTAACCACTGATTTCTAGTCGTGTCCTCTTTTGGAAGACCAAACAAAGTAGTTTCGCTTTCACAACGAAACACAACGTCACACACGGCGGCCTAGAGTGAGCAGAGGCCAGCGGCTAGAGTGAGGAACGGTCAGTGAGCTTGAGAACGGCGCGGCCGGCAGATTCGACGAAGGAGCGTCCGGAGGGCTTGCGGCAACCACATGTGACGGCCCCGGGCTGGTCCACGGTGAAAGCCGATCCGGCGATCGACAGCGCAAAGTTGATGTATTTCCTGATGTATTGCATGACGAAGTGGATATCGTCCTCTTTTGGAAGACCAAACAAAGTCATTTCGCTTTCACAACGAAACACACAGCGACATGGTAGCGGCAACAACAATACTACAGCGAGAATAAAAGTTACGCCTTCTTTCTTTGAGTGAACATTTGGGCGGTGTTATACAAATCCAAAGACTATCTCTTTGGATTTGAGACTTTAGTCTTTGCCACTTTACAGATCTTCTTTATGCACCAAGAGCTTGTAACACTCCAAAGAGAAAGGAAAAATTGAAATCGCATCATATGACCCCTTTAAAGCGCAGGTATTTAGTCACTATCATGTGCAGAACAAGTCTGAGATCTACTAAATTTAGATTAATTATTTCTGCTGTTGTTTATCTCTGCATGGTGGCACTAAAAATATTCAGGTTTTCCAAGCATTATCATGTATTCTTTTGTAAGGCCTAAAAGTGAATGAATGAAGCAAAATAAGTGATATATCCCTGGAAGTATTTCATAGGCATACATTTTCTGCCATGCAAAAAAAAGATGACTGCGACTTTTTATCTCACGGTTTAGATGAGAAAGAAGTCCCAATTCTGAGTTCAGTTTTAATTGTGACTTTTATCTTATAATTCAGATTTTTCAGAATTCTGAGGAAAAATCAGAATTGTGTTGACGCTGATGGCCTCGTGGTCAGCACGCCGACGTACGGTGCTATTGCGCTTCGGGTGTCACGAGTTCAAGTCCCGGCTTGCGGACCTTTCCCGATCCCATCCCCCTCTCTCTCACCCACTTCCCTTCCTGTCGACCTATACTGTCCTATCAAAATAAAGCCATAAATAAACCTTTAAACATTTTTTTAAAAAATCAGAATTGTGAGGAAAAAAGTCAGAATTATGAGTTGTATCTTACAATTCTAAGTTTGCCTTGAATTTCAGAATTTTCTTCTCAGAATTATGAGTTTACATTTTGAATTGCGAGAAAATGTCTAAACTGTGAGATAAAAAGTCGCAATTACCTTTTTTATTTTATTTTTATTTTTAACCTGTGGTGGAAACAAGATTAGTACTGCAAGATTTAAACTCAGAATTCAGAGAAAAAAATATAAAATTAAATCAAAGTTGACTTCTTTTACACTTAATTATCTTATTTTACATGATTCCTCAGTGGATTGTAAAGAAAAAGTGTTCGTCTTCATAATCATTGAACCTCTAAATGACTTAACGTTAATCAAATAGCGATTTAGGCATCATTTTAATAAAATCACTTTCAGGTCTAGCTCCATTCAGCAACTTTATTATGATACACTCAATTCTCATGTGCATGAATATCCCGGTTCCCACAGACCAGAGCATGTGAGCGGAGCGGAGCGTGAGCGGAGCGGGGAGCGCCTTTCTGAAGATTCCGCTCCGCTCGCTCAAAACGCTCAGCGCTGCTCGCTCAACCCAGAATTGGTGATTTGCTTGTTCGAGATCGAGAATCTGTAGAGATCGAGAATAGTAGAGCAGTTATGGAGTTCAGATATTGTTTCAACGAAGTTGCAAGCCTTATACATAAATGTAAAGTAAAGTAAGTTAAGAATGAGCAGGGAGAAGAAACTGAGAGGGAGTGCGGGGAGAGTTAGTAAAGATTCATATTGGAATCTGAAGCGGCACATTGCCAGAAAGCACGAGGATGTGCTACGCAAACATGGTGCCGCAAAAGGTGAGCTAGTTACATACCATAATAAATAAATAAACAGGTAGGCTAAGGTTATATTCGGTTATTGCACAACAACTGCAGCTATTTTCACGGAAATAAAGTTAACGAAAATCAAATACACTTTTTCAGTTTTTGCATTTTAGGTAGGTTTGCTAAGGTTAGATTC